TCTCCCTGTACGTCCCTTGTATTCTTCCCAGCTCAGTCATGTACACTTCCCTCTCCTTTTCTTACAACTGACATTCCGCGACTACATGAACACTGTCTTCGCATTCGAAGCCGCAATGACATTTGAACTTGTCGTCTTCGTCGTCTACCGTCCTATGTCTTCGTCGACGTTCGCGAAGGCCTATGTCCCCGGTCCTGAATTTGACCTTAAGCTTTGTCCCTGCATCCATTGGTCCATGTAGGTAATCCTTGAACCCTATTCCTTCTTTCAACATTCCGTACACTTCTAGACCCTCCTTATCCTTGGATTCTTTCCTTAGATTCTGTTCTTCTCTGTCGGCACAAGCAACAGATATCTTCTTCTTGAACCCCTGTAGACCCTCCGTTTCCAGCGTTTCATCTTCGTCGATGTCCAATCCCTTCCATACGTCCTCTACAACCTTGACTCATTCCGTGGGTTGTCTACCCCTCTTTTTGTTTGCCCACTTCGCCTCCCATACTATTCTCGGCAACCTCTCCTCTCCCATCCCGCACATGCGGTACTGCCATGTCAGCTTCCTTACGTCTCTTCCCGACCGTAGGGATTGGATCCCCAATTCTGCCCTGACTGCTGCATTACTTGTGCGCTTGGAGCATCCTAGGATAATTTTCGCTGCTTTCATCTGCGCCACCTCGAGTTCTTTCACTACCTTCTTATTTCCTTCCCATACTTCTCCGGCGTACTCCAGCGGCGGTACGATTACGCTCTTCAAAACCGTCAATTTGATGCGTGTATCAAGGTGCCGGTTTGCGAGTATTGGGTGCAGCTTCCCTGCTCGTGCTTTGCCCTTTTCCGCTACCTTGGACATGTGTGCATTCCACGAGCAATCTTTTGCGATCTCTACTCCGAGGTATGTGTACTGGTCGACTACTGCAATCTCCTCGATCCCCCACTTCCATCTATGTTCTACTGGTTCCTCCCTGCCCTCGTTGCATACCATGACGGCACTCTTCGTAACGTTGGCAGACAACCTCCACTTATCAGTAAACTTCTTCGCCGCGTGGGGGGGGGGGGGGGGGCAAATTGATAAAAAAAAATGGTTTTGTTTTGTGTGAATACTGTATCACAACGGGGGGTCGGTTGGGCGAAGGAAAAACCCTGAAACGGAAAGTATTGTTGCTGAAGTACAACATTGCATTCATGCACGTGTGTTGACAACAAAAAGGCCCTCATCAACAACATACACGGCCTTGCCGTGAAATTCCACCAAGCGATTTCACGGGAACATGTCCGATCGGTTGCACAACCACTCAACCAGTCTACACAACGTCTTCTTCCTCCATGCGTCGGCATCAGACATCCTACCCTGTCACTCGGACATCCGGTACAGCAGTGGCCTAACCCAAGCAAACAAGGGCTGCTTAAAAACAACTCGATTCACACGCTGTATACTCTGTTTGTGCCGAGGGTTTTCAGCCGCCTTATATCGGGCAACCGAACCGCCATGCACTCCGGCAGCCTTGTTCGGGAAACCCTATAGTACCTGAATAAGCGGCGAAACCAAGTCCTCTGGTATGGGCTTGCTTCCGCTCACGCCGACAGCGACGGCCTTGATTCCATCCTTGAGCACGTCCATGGTTGACACACCCGCAGACACCATCTGCAAGGATCTGTGTTTGTGTTTGGAGAAGCGCGGCACATCACAGGACAGGTGTTTGGGGCCTGCTGCGTTTGACACAAGCAGCACGTAGTATGTGCTGGCAACACCCGCCGACGACATGTGCGCAAACCACAGCAGTTGCATTGTGGCCTATATTAAAGCTCGATACCTT